CTAACAACTAAACAACAACAACAACAAGCAAACAACACTTCAAAAGTTGCCATGGATAACTTTGCATGAGAACTATGGATGACCTTAAAATTCTACGAGGCTGATGCACCCTGGGTTGTTAATGCAATTCAAAGACTATAAAAACCTTCACATTAAATAACAACAACAACAACAAGTCCTTGGGAAGGACTTGATAGATGGATAAAAATGCCAAATCCAGTCTAAACATCTAGCTGACTGTGCAGCCAACCATAATAATAATTGAAAAGGCAGCTTTACTCAGAACAAGTTACATCCTGAAATGATACCTTTAACACCATCAAACAACAATATCTGCCTATCCCAGGTCCTTAGGAAGGACTCAATAGGTAGATAAAAATGCCAATCCAGTCTAAACATCTGGCTGACTGTGCGACCAATAATAATAATTTATTAAACTTGTATGCTGCCCATCTCTCAATGGCTCTAGGCAGCTCACAACAATCAAAGTAATTACAATCCAATTAATAAAACATAAAAGATAAAGATAAAAGATGCCAAACTGATGAAGCGAGGGGTCTCACTTTTCCTTGCAAAAGGCCTGGGTGAACAGGCAGGTCTTCATGGCTTTTCTAAACAGCAGAGTGAGGGCCATCTAGATCTTGGGGTGGGGACCTCATTCCAGAGGGCAGGTGCTATTACAGGGAAGGCGCACTGTCAGGGTCCTGACAGATGACATTGTTTAATTGAAGGAACTTGGAGTGCACCAACCCTGCAGGATCAAATCACCCAGGCAGACATTATGAGAGACAGTTGTATCCCGTCAGCCCTACCAAGTAGACCAGACAGGAAACATGGCCAGATAAGCTAATTTTACTTTATTGTAAAGCTACATTAACAGAATCTTGCAAGTCCAGTTCTCCCACTGTCTCCTTTACAGCCCGAGAAACTAGGGAGGGTCCCTTCTGAGCCTCTTGCCCCACTCACTATGCAGCTGCGGGCTATGCTATCTCTTACCTGACTGTTCCCGAGGCAGCATCTCTTCACCCTATCTCCCAAGGTCTTTCCCACATACCATTAAACACCCTTTCCTGGATCAGGGAGCCCTTCAGACAGTCACTCATGCCCTAGTCGTCTTGCAGCTTGACTACTACAACACGCTTTACTTGGGGCTGCCCTTGAAGACCACTCAGAAACTTCAACTGGTTCAGAATGCAGCAGCACAAGTAGTAATGTGCATGACTCAGTATGCCCATGTAACACTTTTGTTTCATGAGCTGCACTGGTTTGACAGTTTGCTTCTGGGTGCAAATCAAAGCACTGGTTGTTACTCATAAAGCCCTACATGGCATAGGATCTGGTTAGTCGAGGGACAGTCTGTCTCCTATATTAGTTAGAATAAGAGCAGCTGCATCCATCAATCTGCAAGTGGAATATCTAGTATTCTTCTAGCTTTGCGGGTCTAGGAGGAAACCCCAATCAATTGCAATATGCCCAAACAAGCTATACACAAGTGCTTTTGCTTAACATGTATTTGATACTAGTTAAACCTGATGGTTTCTTGATATACTGTTTTACTGTATGACAATACAGTAAGCAAGCAGAACCAATAGCCAACATTAACCATGTTGCTAGGCTACTTTTTTTTTCAGCAGCACATTTCTTTGTAGGCAGTTGTACAGTGCTATTGTTTGAAACAATATTTAATTATTTCTAACATATCTATGCTGTTCTACTTCCAAAAGCTCAGATTAATTGTCAATCAATTCACTTGAATAGCCTACCTTCTACATCATACCACTGAGCACCATTGGTGATGCCATCTTTGAAAGTTTCTTCCTCTTCCCCAGGACAGTTTGGGATGCCAGTTTTCATTATTGGATGGTTTGATGCATAGGCTTTTGCCAGATATTTGAAAACTTCATCATCAGCAGATTTACTGTATACTCCAGAGGACTGGTGTGCGTCTGAGTCATCGAATGGATAGCTTGCAACAACAGATCCCCCATGAAAGTTCCCAGAAAGCACAAATCTGTATTAAAAAAGCAGCACAAAACTAATCAAAACCTCAGCAGTTCTCAGGTAAAAAGTACTTATTTTCCTACCAAAGTAGGCATCTTTGAATCAGCAGCAGCAAAATCAACTTGCATTGATTCAAGTAACTTCAATGGATATTTGAAAGCTGTGAAACCCCACAACGCAAAAATGGGGAATGTCCTAAATATAGTGGATCAACTGAGGTGAGCAGGAGAGGAGGAGGATTCTAGCCTTATTTAAAAGTCAGCTCTTTGGATACTTTATTTCCAGTACAAAAAGCATACAATATCTAAGCATTTTCAATGTTAAATGAGCTAGCATCAAGAGAATGCTCTTTAATAAGGTGCTGAGTGCCAACCAGAGCATTATATTATGCACTGAAAAATTATTAAAAGGCCTCACTCATTTATTAATTCCTTCAATAAAGTTATTTATAAGCCACTTTTAAAAGTGAAGCATTCATAACATTCAATGTACATCCAATATAGCCAGTTAGTGTATGGATAAGCTACTTTGGAACACAAAACCATCATTTTTTTTTAAATTTAGGAAAGCAACAGATAAGATTTATGCACCCCTTTAAAAGCCCTTATTGAAAGCATCAAGCAAATATTTTCCCCAAACAACCACCATTTAGGGTAAATGTTGGGCCAAGAGAATGATAGCTCAAAGTCACCCAGTGATCTTCTATGGCTGGGGGGCCCTTAAGCTGGGATCTCCCTGGTGACTCTGCAACACTTGTGTGAAGTAGTTTAAGATTAAAAGGGGCAAAACAGGCCATTTAGAACTCAAGAGATTTTACCCAGCCCTTTAGGCATTTAATTTGCAGTTTCTGTGTTTAACTGTCAATATTTCTGTTGGCTCTTGGTTTTTGACAGAATTGTTGGTTGCCATTTCCTAGAGTAAGCCTGGGCAAAGCTACTCAGCACCCATTTTTGTGGCTTTGGAGTGGAGGAAGAAAACCTTTAGCCTTTTTGAGGGGTTTGATGGGGCAAAATGGTAAGGTAGATGTTCTCTTGGACCTGGCTGTTTCCTCTGACAGAGATGGAAAGCTTTTTTGTGGCTGGGAATTTACTGATCACTGTAAACCTAATCGCATCCATTCTATCTGCAGCCTTCAAAGGCTTTTTTTAAAATATACATTCCTCAGACATAAAGAAGGCAACTCATTCGGCCCCTGATTCCCTCTTGTTTTCCTTGCATTTGCTTTGAAACTATAAGCCCCTTGGGACAAGGATTAAAGCCATCATACAAATGTCCATTGGCCTTCCTCACTAGGCACCCACCAGATCAGCCACTGGACTAGGAGCAGGGAGATCTGGTCTGAGTCCCCTCTCAGACGTGGAAGTACTAGGAGCAAGAAGACCTGGGGGACTCTGAGCCAGTCCTCCCTCTCAGCCTGCCTGACCTACCAGAGAAGGAGGTGAACGAGGGGCAGGGAGACCCAGGTTCTACTCTCCCCTCAGCTCCTGAAGCTCCCTGGGAGATTCTAAGCGAATCCCTCCGTCCCAGCCCCAGAGCCACTGGGGAAAGTGCTGGACCAGGAGCCGGGAGTCCAGGTTCCTAGAGGGGAGTGCAGGGGTGACCCCTTCTTACCCCAACTTTCTGATAGGTTGTTATTGTGGGAGAAAAGCAGGTCTTGTACTGCACACACCAAAGGTCATTTTAAAACATATACAGTACTAAATAGAAGCTGCACCGTCGACATCAGGGGAGGG